GGAAAAAGATGCCTGCTTTACCGTGTGGAATCGTCCTGTATGTTTCTATCTCAGTTGACCATTTCTGCGGGAGAGGACGAGAGGACTGAATGAAGTCCGATGAAGTCCGTAGTCCGTACAGTGGTTTCAGAGTACGTAGATGGCACAATTCCAAAGATGCTTTTTCTATGGAGGTAGGATGGAGGTAGGTAATTGTTCAGTTTGAGAGAGATTGACATGGAGGTCTTCTGGACGCTCACCGATATGAAAGTGACAACATGCTTTGTTGTGTTTCATCCCTGGGCACCCGAACCTGTAAAAGCTGTTGCTTGGCCTACAATTGGAAGCCAAATAAGAGTCAGAAACGAAGCGGTGGTCAGACAACTTGTTCCTGGCATGTTCTCAGGGCTGTCAGAAATTGAATTCGTCACCGATTGCTAGGGAACACGTTCTTTTTACATTCAGGCTGGTTCTCGGTGGTACTTTGAAGCCTTCAATGCTTCAGGTCATGTTGACGGATTCGAACGCAAACTAAGCAGGTCTAAACAGTACCACGGGTACAGCACCTTTAAGTTTAACGAATTTATCGAACCTGGCTTCCCAAGCTTAGAGGGCCTCGAGTTTACGTATTCTTTTCCAACAAACGCATGCACGTGATTGTTCCTCCCATGAGAGGATCCCGCCGTGCAAAGACCACGCCGTGATCTCAGAATCTTTGCTGTCGTGAATCTCTGGACTCTGTGCGAAGCTTTGGGGTTTGGGAAACGACAGATTTTGTGATAATCTTGGACTCAAAGGGCCACAGGGCTATGCAGTGGTCTTCCTAATCTGTCCTCCATCAATTGAATCGATCGTACAGTTCTCGTGAACCGAATTGCCACCCACCCCTCCCTCTTGAAAAAGTGCTGATCTTCTCAATAGATATCCTTCGGTTGTAACCTATATTTCTCGGGGCAATAAAATGCACCCAAAACAACCGTGGCTTAAACCGAGGACAATTGGTGAAATTGCCTACTGGTACATCTTCATACACCTTCTGACTCAATGTCTTGCTCTACAAAATGTGGGGACGCTTCATCCAATCTCAGGAGCGCCCTCAACTGCAGGGGTGACGGCAGCAGCAGCAGCAGCAGCAGCAGCAGCGGCTGCTGCGACCACGACCACCACAGCTGTCGCCGGCCACGGCTTGTGCGGAGACTCAGGGGCAGAGTAGGCAGGTGGCCTCGTCAGGATTGAAGGGTTCAATATGGTTTGGATGCCAAAAGTCTGTGCTAAGGAGTTTATAGAACATGGCAACATTATATAATATTTACTATTAATTACTTTTGTGATGGATTGTGATGGTATGTTTCAAACGCAAATTGTGAAGCGGCACGCACGATAATTTCCGAAAACACCAGCTACAAACACTAGCATGGCGCTTGAGGTGCGCTATGTTTTTCCCAGATAGTGACACAGCTATATATTGGGGCTCTTCAAGTGTAGGAATAGGTGCCTGTGTACGCTTTGGGGATTTCTATAGACAACGACACACAAGTTCGTTTGATTTCTTTAAGTAAAAACAGTATATATTTTGCCAAAAGCACACCGCCACCAGAGAAATCCACCGCTCGTACCGTCATTCCGGGATGGCGGGCCGGACACGGAAAACGCGTCTGTCGCGGGGCCGTTCCGCCGCGCCGGTGATGGCTCCAGACGACGCGTCCAGACGTCGTTTGGTGATCCGATGAAAACAGACGGAGACGGGAAAAAAAACACTCTGACGCGAAGAAAGAAAGAAAACACGAAAAGACACGGACAACGGGTGTTCGGCAGACTCCTTGCAATGCTTTGAATGGAAAAGGCAGCTGATTGGATTTCCACGGGATGATGTTGATGTTCTCTAGAGCTCCTCTTTCCTGGGCACGGAAAAGACACGAAAGGGCAATTAGTCCGCCCATGTTAACTGCACGGTTTGATTTTGTGTACCAACTTGGGTGTATCGCTGATGCGATGGCTGCACCCTCGATCGCATGGCTGCGCATAGGTGCCAAAATTGCAGCCAGGGTGGGCGGCCATGAGATTGCAGAGGTGTCCAAAACGTGGTGGCTATGTACTTGGACAGCCATATGATATTTGGTTACTACCACACCCTTCTTTGTGATGATCCTCTAGATTGGTGGATTTTTTACCATGTTCCCTCGCTGGCGTCTGTCAAACGCAGCGTCTGTGAGTGACGCAGCCGTTTTCATCGATACGACCTCTGGGGACGAAGTGACACCGAAAGCGGGAACGATGGACCTCCGGGGTGTCCGTTTCGGCCATCGCCACGTGCTCCGTGACCACCGTGCTCCCACAGACGGTTCTCGGTGACCGGTCGTGGGATGGAACCCCCAAGAACCGTCCGAGTCCTCATCTCACTGATGCCCAGGAATTCCTATGTCTACCAACACTCAAAGGAGAAAAAGAACCAAAGAAGACACATGCAGGTGAGACGTGAGACGATTCAACATGTCTTGAATAATATTCTCAACAACAATATATATGACAATCTTACAGTAATCTTGTTAAACAAAAATAACAACTGTAATAAACAAAACATGCCTTCGTGCTATATTAAATTAATATGTTTTTTTACATATTGTTGTCATTGTTTAACATTGCTTAACAACAGAATATATATATATGATGTGTGTTAGTTCTTACAATTTCTTACATATATTTTTGGTAAAACATGGTCTCAGTCTGTTGTCACGTGCAGGCGACCTCCGCCTGCGCGACAATCCGGCGCTCTACTGGGCGGCCGAGAGTGGAAATCGCTGTGCCGGTCTTCGTGTGGTGCCCCGAAGAGGCCGAGTCCGGGCGCCCCGAGAGGCTCCGGCGCCAGTCCGATGCAGGGGAATGGAGTATTTGATGTCTTTCTTTCTTTTTTGCTCTTGATCTTTGTTCATATTCATGTTCTCACTTTACACTGCTTCTCACTCATACACTGCCCGAAGGAGCAGACCTATGCGTGCCCGTCGGCTCGTACCAGTCACTTCCGCTGGGGCTATGAGGCGTCCGCGTGTCCAGGTGTCGCGCGGTTGGTTCTCACAGGTCTTTGAGGAGCAAACACCTGTGATAGATAGTATCATACCCATATCATACCTAGACACTCCATGAATGGAATATATATATATATACTGAGTACTGGAAGCCACCCCGAAAATATGACCCCGGAAAGCACCCCAATGTAATGCAAATATGGCATACCAGGAGTGTTTGGGATATACTATCCTTTATCAGAGTGGACTGGCAATTCCAAGGGAGAAGGCTTCAGGAGATGAAAGTGGCACAGAATCCAGATGAAGCAGATGGAGTTGAGAAAGAGCACAGACCTTTCGACATGTGCCAACATATGGGGAGTCAACACCTGAAGCTCCAAACCCTGTTAGATTGACCTGCCTTGGCATGTCAGATCTCCTCGTTTTGGACCCACTCCCATGTGTCGTCAAGGGCTCCGGATTTGGACAGGTTTTGCACACCATCCACCTGAAGGGTTGCATTGCATTGCATGGCAGTGCGCAACCGCCGCGCAGCCTTTTCAGCCCAAACAACCGCTCAGCTCCCCGCATTCTTTGCCTCATCCAAGCATGGGAAGTGGTGCCTCCAGTGAGCATAAGAACATGAGACTTGGCTGGCTCTGTTTGGGTGATAGAATTTTTGATTAACTAGGACGCCAAGAGTCAAAGTACCTGTATGCGGGGTACAAACAGCTGGCCAGGGTACGTACAGTAGTTGTTGTATGTTGTTGTCAGTTGTTTTCCTTTCTGTGGTGTAACCAACCCAGAGGGGAACACTTTATTTGGTGAATATGTGTAATTGTATATAACTTGTTAGCAACCAAAGGGATCAAACTGTTGCATTCACATCCCCCAAGAGATTCCACGAGAATTATTGACCTGTGTATGGTCAAAATCGGCCACAATGAACATATCCGACATATCCAAGTCGATGGACAACAAGGGGCTAATTTCTAACTGATCAACAAAGGGGATCCCACATGCATAGACACCAGCAAACCAGGGGGTTTTACAGAGGAATCGTCAACTGAGCAGATTTTTTTGTTTTTTAAGTAGATGTAAAGATTTATATAAGGGTTGACCTGCAAATGGTTGGATGATGTTGGATGTAAGCATTCTGCTTGGGGGCGTAGGCTGGCGTAGGCATGTTTTGCATTTTGTTTGTGGCAGAAGCCGCGTAGGCGACGCATTTCCCAGCCCGGGTCAAGAAGATTCATACAGGAAGACTTTAATCAGTATGACTTCTCAATATTTCAAATGCTACTTGGATAGGAGTAGGAAAGATATTAGCAAAACCAACATGCAGTGGCTAATGGAGTAGAGAACCATGGGACATACCACAGGTTGGGCCAATATGATCCAACATGATCCAACTTTGTCGTTAGTAGGCCTTTCGCCATGGCTAAGAAGGAACCCAACGCAGTCGAACTCAAGTGTTTTCTTCGTCTACTTCAAGTACATCTGAATCATCTGCATAGCTGCGTATTACAAAAATGATCAAAAATGTGTGCCTGCTTTGCTGGCTGCACCTGTCAAACCACTTCAAGCCAACTAAAAAACAGCATGTTATTCTCATTGCCTCCTCTTTCTTCAGAATTGCAAAACAATAGGCGAAACCGAAAACAACGAAAAGCTTCCAAAACTGTAGCCGCGTAGGCAACACCATGCAGTGATTAACAAAAACTCCACGCGCGTAGGCCACGTAGGCAACCTATCCTAACTTCGACCTGCATGTAGGCCAAATCTGTGAGCCCGTAGGCAGAGAGTAGGCTTGGCGTAGGCACCAATAAAATTGCTTATATTACTGGTACCTTACATCACGAAAAAAACACACACAACTCAACTGCCGAAACCTCACAAGATCGACAGCTAAGCAGGCTGGAACTGCATGTGGTAGAGCGCAATAAAAACAAGATGCTCACAAGTGGGGCCCCACAATCCGGGATGTGAACTACCAGACCAAAGAGCGCGTAAACAGGCGTTGAGCGGCCAGCAGCTACTCAATCCTTGGTAAAATCTGTGGATTTCTATGCAAGCAATTCCAGTTTGATGCTTTTTTTACCTTTTCCTTCCAGCAAACCACCCTTTTCCCGCTCCCCTTCCTCCTCGCCAAGCACCGACCTCTCAGCGGACTCGACTCCCCTCGGACTCCGCGGCTCCGCTGGGACCGTCGATGAGGATCGAGGGCAAGTCCCCCGAGGAGATCGCCGCGGCCTTGAAGGAGTTGCCGCCCGCGCCTCGGTCGCGGTTTCCGAAGTCGGTTCGGCAGACAATTGGCAGCCGAAAGAGCGAATCAGTGAGCTTTTTGGCAGCGGTGGAGGTACCGGGGTGGAACTTGGAGTTACAACATGTGTGTGTGTGTGTGCCCCTTGTAGTCACAGGGATCCTCTTGGATTGTTTTGTTTTTGTTTTCATTTTGCCGAGCAGGGGGGTGCAGGGCACAGTGGAGACTGCACCCAACGAAGCTATCCACTTGTGCTGGAAGCAGAGCCTGATCAGCTCTGTGTACCTGCTTGAATTTTAACATTTGCAGAGGTGAGTCGTAAAGTGCTAGTTGCATTCCGCAGACATGCACGTACGTCGTCATTTGTCGTTTCGATCTCGACTTGCGCTTTTGGCCCCTTCTCCGTTTGAAGACCTCCAGGATCCGTTGTACTCTTAGGAAATGGTAACCTAGGCTGGCGTGTGGCACCGCTTTCAGTTCAGTACGCCAAATCATAAGTGTGTCTCTCCTAGTGAGAGTCCAGGGTGAGCCCGAAGAGTGCCCCCTGTGGACCCGTCAAACGGGGGTTTGTCGAACGTATCCCCTGCCCGGATACAGAGCAGCTCGCAGCGAGCGTAGGTGGCCTAGGCCGAAAGTACTAAGATTTGCTGAACTCTGGAATTCCTAGCTGGCTCATGCCGTTACGTGACTGTAGTGGTCAAAGCAGCCAGCCATTTTGGCACGGCATAGGTGGCCGCAGCGGCCGAAGCAATTTTCGGGTCCATTGGGACCCGTCGCTACCTCAGGTGCACACACAGCACGTACTTGTTCAACAGGTTTGCCTAGGTTTCTAATGAGGTTCGGGCTCATTGGTTTTCGTCTCCTCCATTTGTTTCCCTTTTCATCTTTTTCCCCCTTCACACACTTTGTTTCCTCTTTTCTTTCATGTCCTTCTGTCTTCATGTTTTGTCATCTCATCCTTTCTTTCGTTTGCGCACACATCGGTCCTGGCCTTAGTGTGTACGTGCACATTTACATACATTTGCAACCTAGGCTTCAGGTCGCCCAGGTCTTGACAATGAGGTGGGGTTCATTGGTTGTCCCTGTGCACTTGGTTCCCCTTTCATCGCAACTACGTACTTTTTGTCCTGTCTTGTCTTCTCTTCATGTCTTCATCTTTTTGTCTTTGCTGCGTACACACGTGCACATTGCCCTTACCTTAGTTTTTCTCGCCTCCCCTCGGGGGGGCGCGTGTGTGTGTGTGTGTGCCCCTTGTAGTCACAGGGATTCTTTTTGAATTGTTTTGAGCAGGGGGGCACAGGAGGCCCATAGAGCTGTGCCCAACGAAGCTCTCTATGGTGACCTCAGGATTTGCAGCCTAATCAGCTGCACGTACTTGCTGTTTGAACTTTTGAACAAGCTTTGACTCCAATTTCCAGTAAAGTGCTAATGAGCTTGGCAGACATGAGCGTACGACGTCATCTCGACCTGCTCGTCGCTTTCGGTCTTGAGCTTTTGGCCCTTTCTCCTTTTGAAGACCTCCAGGCTCCATAGGGTTCTCCTGGACTTTTCAAGATTTGGTTTCTTGGGCTGGCGATGGCTGGCGTGTGGCCCCGCCGTCAAGTCAGTACACAAAATCATAAGTGTGTCTCTCCTAGTGAGAGCCCACGTGGACCCATCGAACGGGGGTTTGTCTTTATCTCCCCTGCCCGGAGATGTTCGTGCCCAGAGCGGGCGTAGGAGGCTTATGCCAAAGTTACTTGCCAAGACCTCACGGATTATTGAATTCCAAAGTGGCTCATGCCTGTACGTGACCGCAGCGGTCTAAGCAGCCAGCCATTTTGGCACGGCGTACGTGGCCGCAGCGGCCGAAGCTTGTTCAAGGTTCATTGGAACCTGTCGAGAGCTTAGTCCCCCTTCCTCCCCCACCCCCTCTCTTCCCCCGTCGCTTGTTGGGGTGTTCCTGAATGTAATACTCAGGTTCACCCCTTTCTCCCTGGTGTGTCCCTGGACGCTTGTTCGTAGCTGGGAACACCTGTCCTCCCTCTTCCTCTCTTTTCCCTCCTTCCTTCCTTTCCCTCCTTCTTGTTTGGGTGTCCCTGGATGCTTTCGTTATAGCTGGGAACCCTTCTTTCCTCTTGGTGTGTCCTTGGACGCTTGTGTCCTTTTCCTTTTTTGGTGGGTGTTCCACCCCTTTCTCCCTGGTGTGTCCCTGGACGCTTGTTCGTAGCTGGGAACACCTGTCCTCTTCCTCTCTTTTCCCTCTCTCTCTCTTTTCTCCTTCCTTTCCTTTCCCTCCTTCTTGTTTGGGTGTCCCTGGATGCTTTCGTCATAGCTGGGAACCCTTCTTTTCTCTTGGTGTGTCCTTGGACGCTTGTGTCGTAGCTGGGAACACCTTCTTTTCCTTTCTCCCTACCCCTCCCTCCTGTCGGGACCTTAGAGTGGGACTCAGGATTTGGTTTCTTAGGCTGGCGTGTGACCCCGCTGTCAAGTCAGTACACAAAATCATAAGTGTGTGTGTGTGTGCCCCTTGTAGTCACAGGGATCCTCTTGGATTGTTTTGTTTTTGTTTTCATTTTGCCGAGCAGGGGGTGCAGGGCACAGTGGAGACTGCGCCCAACGAAGCTATCCACTTGTGCTGGAAGCAGAGCCTGATCAGCTCTGTGTACCTGCTTGAATTTTAACATTTGCAGAGGTGAGTCGTAAAGTGCTACTTGCGTTCCGCAGACATGCACGTACGTCGTCATTTGTCGTTTCGATCTCGACTTGCGCTTTTGGCCCCTTCTCCGTTTGAAGACCTCCAGGATCCGTTGTACTCTTAGGAAATGGTAACCTAGGCTGGCGTGTGGCACCGCTTTCAGTTCGGTACACCAAATCATAAAAGTGTGTGTGTTGGCGTGTGTGTGCGGGCGCACAGTATTTTGATAGGATGTCTAATAATTGCTTACTGAGATCTTTTGTAGGTAGCTCTATAATGCTCTTTATATGTATAATATACACATGCATATATTTATATTATATCGTTGTATATATATAGATTAGACGCATTACATAACCATTATATACGTCGTTTTGCTGATTCGGAGACACCGTGGGGCAAAAGATCTTTCCAGTCACTCATGTCATGTATCCTCCCCAGATGGGATCCTTTAGCTACAAGACGACCATCCCATCTCGTCACCGGATGGGCCACCGGGGATGGACGACATGGGATGGACCTGCGCCAGGGAGACCCCCTGGCCGTGGCTGGGTCACGGGTAGACTGGTATGTCCCGAGCCGAACCCGCCTGGTGTCGGTCTCCCTATTTGAACTACACACCCAGGTGGTTTCGCTGGGTGACATTGTTGGTTGGGAGTGGTTGGGATTTGGATTTTTGAAGGACATTCCCCCAACAAAAATAGCAGGGTTTCCTAGCTAGGATCACTACCCAATCTAACAAGTGTAATGACCAGGGTAATGTGATTTGCATATTGCTTGCCGGTAATCTCCAAAGTTAGGGAAGGGAACAGTGGAAGACGGGTGCTTTGTTCAAAACAAAAGTCTGTATGACGATCCATACCCAATTGGAGATCCAGATGAGTTCCGAATTGTGCAAATCTCAATTTGTAGGGAATTGTATATGCAAATTGTGTAAGCCCCCAAGCTGACAGTCCCCACACCCCTGACACTGCTGATCACTTGCCCCTCCACACCTCCATGTCCACCACCTGGTCAGTTCGATTCCAGCTCCACCAGCTGGAATTCCCTCCAGTTCATCGTCCTATGTTTTTTGCCGGTGATGTTCCCTCCAAATGTCCAAAGGAAGGCGCGCCACATCCAAGGATCAGCTTGCGAAGGTTTGGGCCGCCGTGGATTCTTGGCATGTGGTTTTCGTTTTTTTTGGGGGGCGGGTGTGAAAGGTGGGCGGCAATGAAAACCCTTTGAGAAAAGCCAGAAGGTATGTGTTTGAGGGAAGATGTTGGATGTTTTGTTGGTTCATTTGACTTTGGGGATGTTGCGTTTTTGGAACCTTCCTATATATCAGTATGTGAAGAAAGGAAAAGAACATTTTCCCTTTCTTCCTTGTTGTTTGAATTCCTTTTCTTGACGGTTAACACTTCTGTTGTTTCCCTGTTCAGATCGATGGAGATCGACCACATGTAATCAGCCGGAAGACCGGCCAACTCGACGGGGGACGGACGACGACCGTGTTTGGGTCGAAGTGTTTGCCTCGAAGAAAGGGCGGCCATTGCATGAAGAACTTGATGCTCATGAGACAGATGACATCAGTGCCCCAAATCTATACCACCATCCAAAATTATCCAAACATACCGGGCTGGGCTCCTTATGTTGATTCAGACCAATTTTGTTTGTTTGTTTGTGTGTTTGTGTGTGTGTTTTTTGATTCCCGGTGCAAACGGTGACCAGAAGTCATTGGTCCGTATTCAAGATGCTCCTGCTTGAGAAATGATGAGGTTTCGACTGGTACACCACACCACTGGGGCTTACTTGAGTTGGGGTTTGGAGTTGATCGCAGTGATCCAAACAGCAGTTCACATCACTACCCGACCGCCGGAGTGCATTGAGGATGGTGAGGACGGTCAGCCATGATGGTCAGGACGGTTGAGGATGCTGACTGACCCATCGCGATGCGTCAGGACCGTAAAGATCCATGCCCTGGCCCTGTGGATTGCAGCGGCATCACGGTGGTGGCCAAGGACTACAAGGGTATGTTGCTTGGAGCGGGAGGAGCAGGACCCGTTGTTACCCCCTGATGCTGGGGACATCTGGGACCAGCTGATTGGAGAAAACCCAGCACCTGGAGCACCTGTTTTGGAGCAAATCAGCTGATCGATCGAGCATCTCTCCTTGGAACCCCCACCGAGCCCGACCGGGTGATCGATCGACCCGCCTCGACCAGCCTGCTGAGATGGTCTCAGACTTACCCCGTTGAGGCGAGCTGAGCCGACGTTTGAACTTTCCGAAGAGGGATATGGACCATTGGCCCTTGTAAGACACACATGAAGCTTGGATAAGCGCCCAAGCTGCTGCAATGTTCATCCAATCCCATCAAAAAGAACACTACGTGTGTCTATATCATTATCATCATTATCTATTTATCTACTATACAGATTGCTTACCTAGACCTAGAACCAATTTGACCTCCTTGTTGAAATAGGACAAGGCCCATATGTTGGATAGTTGATCCTCCAAAATAGAGGTCATACACAGGTTGTGAGTTTGTAACACTCGTAAAACTGCTCGGTCCAACCTTGGGCCCACCTCTTGAGGTTGGATCAGCCCAGCGCGCCCAAGTTTAAGGGTGCCTTGGCCCAGATCTACGTCCGAAGCCAGCCCTATGGAGGTTCCGACAAGAGCAACAATGGCCACCGTGACTTCGCTTGACTGAAGCGGATCGCATGGGATCACACGTGGGAGCTGATGGCTAGTTTTGCTTGGGGTTCTGATTGGATGATCTGATTTGGGACTCAGCATCTTCAGTCACGTTGCAATTGGCCTTTCTACTGGAACACTTTTCTCCTGAAAGTCCCAAAAGCCGTTTTCGAGCTGTTGCACGCTGTTGTTCTACTGTAAATTCCACACATCGAGTGGGTCGGATACTGAAATGGAGACAGGCGACAGGAAAGCATCGTATTTCATGTATCGAGGCTGACCCATGTTTGTATGCAAGGCATTGCAACTCTTCAACTCTATAAGAAACTAGGAGTGGGGGATCCGTTGGATGCACCTTAGATTCATGTCAGGACTCAGCTGCAGCAAAGTGTTTCGCAGCTCACAGTGCGTAGAAAGGCCTTCCTTCAGAAGATTGCCTTTTGTGGGGCAGGGCGATGGATTCTCGCCAGGTCTGTCTTTGAGGGGGCAGTTGATGCACCATTCTTCTTATAGGTCTAGGTCCCTAGGACATGGAAGGCTGCCTTGTGAACTAGGTTGACCACCGGCAGGCTTGGACTTTCCAGGCAAGGATCCTCTTGGTAAGTACCAAGGAGGATATGTGGATAAGTGTTTGTGTGCCAAATTTAACATAATTTAACGACATGTGCAACTGCATGTGTATGTTAGAGAAATAACTTTTGGTACATGTGCATGTATGTGATTCTACGCATTTGTTTCCCTTGCTTCAGCGCCGCGCTCGCTCCATCTCCTCGCATTCGCGACGTTGGACGCTATTCCAGGCTACGACTCGATTCCCATTGTGAACGGCATGATTTCAGCAGGCATGAGCTGTCAGCTGATCCACTACACCCACGAGGAGCCTTCTTTCGGACCTGGCACGTTCTGGGCACGGAGGGCCAGATGGCTTAGGAGAGGCCAGATGGCTTAGGAGACAGGCACGGTTGCCCAGTAGATGGCCCAGCTCACGTGCTTCATCTTGTAGATGGCCCAGCTTCCGTGCAATCGTCGTCCTTTTTCTTCGCAATTGTCATTGGATTCACTACATGGTCATACATTATCATCATTTATCATCGCGTTCATCGCCTCTACTTTGTTATTCTCTCCTGGCGCCTTCAGGTCATGGAGATCCATGCACCATCATAAGACGCTCGTTCGATGGGTGTGGCACCCATGCTGATCCATGCGCTTCGGGGGGAGGATGTTTTTCAGCACCATGCTCCCCTGCCGATCCCCACATCCCACCCGAGCGCTCGAAGATGGGTCCTCAGTTGGACGGCTATTTTTCCAACGCGAAAAAGCACCCTGGCCAGCCCTTGGGGCTCGGGTCCACAAATGGAGGATGCTCGAAGGATCTAAAATGGTATGGCATGAACATGGCTGGGAAACCTAACCGAGAGAAGCCAATAGATGGCAGAATCGAGGCTGAGCTTGGTGCTTCTGGTTCCATCGACCTGCTTTTCGCAAGCTGAGTTCGCAGTTCCATCAATGCCACGTACCTGCGGATTCCTGAAAAAAAACCGAGCACCACACGGCAGGTGGATTGCTGGCAGTACCCCACGGCACGCGAAAAGTGGACGGGTGTGGAGTGCCCACTGCCACAAAACCCAACGTCGTTGAAGTGCCACCGTGCCACCCGTCTGGCAGCCAATGCTACGAGACATATAATGGAGGGAACAGTTACAGTATAATTCCATCAAGGAAACATAGGAGTTTGGGGCCTGCTGAACCCAGTTTGGACTGCCTGAATCGCTGAAGTCTTTTGCAGTTGTATCTCTGGTTAGTTGAAGGTTGTGACCTGTTGAAACATGCTATTGACACGACGGGGCCCGGGATGGCCCGGGCTTCAGCAGTCAGAGTCCGAAACATGTTCAAACGGTTTTGCGTCGATTGAGTCATGGGGGCTATGATGTGCCGATGAAGCTTGGAAGCCTCGAAGACGTTTCGTTGTTTTGCAAATTCATGCTGTTGGACCCATCAGTTTTCTAGCCCGGGGTGAGGACCAGCACATTACATCTGCATAGAGGTTTGCTGTTGTGGAGAGTCCAACGGAATGTTATTCAGGAGCACGACAAGTTCTTTGAGTTATGCAAGAGCTTCGACTATGTCATTGTCCGATGCAACCCAGGCGGCTGAAAACCTTGAACAACCCCGGGCTTGCAACAGAAATTCATCTCGAAAGTAGCAGAGTGAGAATTTAGTTTGTTGCTGACTTGTTTGCCGACTTGAACTCTGGCAATTGGAGGATTTTTGCAGTCCCAAGTACTTGTACACAATGCAGTGTTTGTGTTGATTAGTGTAGGAATCAGTCCAGTGTCAATGACCCTTGAATGAGGGCTGTTCTTGCTTGCCGTGACCCGTGAATGCAGTCAGTCACTGTTGCTACATCCAGGCCTTCGGTCTACCCTGGCCCCCAGGTCTGATTCGGTTTGATCAAGGTCTTTGAACCGACATGGGTGTTTACTTACTTTGGGACGTCACCACTATAGTCAATGCGGAATTGGTTTTTGCGATCTCCCAAAGGTGTGCCTTTTTACTAGGTCTATGTTTCTTTGTGCCACGAATGACGTCGATGGAACATGTGGACATTCTGTTGTCATACATCACTTTCACTTTCATTGGGCCAGGTGAGGGTTTAGAGTTTAGATGATGTTTAGATCAAGGACATGGTATTTGTGGACATCCTGATGCCATCTGATGCCCAATGTCTTCACGCCTTCACGTGAGGTCAGATCAAGGCTGACGGGGGAGATCAGCAGAAGTTTGATGATGGCATGCGTGCCTTGAGGACGGACGACCGTTGGCGGGGTGGAAACAGACATGTGATCCAGATCCATGCAACTTGTAATCCAGGCCTTTGGACAGAATAGGGTTTCGACAGCGCCCAGGGAGACGGAACCCTGACTTGTAAGATCAGATGACCAGTCATCAACTGCTGGTATTGTGGCTACGTATGAAACACAATTCTTCCACAGGGGATCCAACTGGGAGGTCTCCCCAAGTTGTGTTTTGTTTTTGAGTTCACAACTTAGGTGGCAAACTCACTGTTCCTTAGTGCCACGTGATATTGATGGACCGTACAGTCTCAAGACTTCTAGCGGTGGCATGATTTTATATGCTGGAGTGCACAGCACTGGAGGTGGTTTATCCTCCAACTATAACTACATTCTACAGCATCACATCCTTCTCCTTAGAACATGGCTTGCTGTTTTGGGTGCCATCATACCAAACCGCACTATCAAAATAACCAATAACGCACCGGTCTTGGTTTGGTCGCTTCACTTGCTGTCGAATTGGCTTCGGGTCAAACCGCTTTCCTTCGCCACGCCCTCAGCCAGGAAGATGGGCAAGCAGGTGTGGCCGTCCCCGGACGTCATGGAGAAGATGGGCGCGAAGGATGCCTTGTGCAAGGTGGCCACAATGAACATTGGTCACTTGGAGGATGCCGACCGCTCGTCCTCGACGGCGAACAAAGAAGACGGGGGCACCGGTGTGTGGCGATTGAAAGGGGTGAAGGAGGGGTGAAGGAGGTGGAGGAGGTGGGTTTTGGAAAGCCCTTCTGTCGAAAGCCCTGAGATGGTTCGTGCACCTGAAATTCCTCGTGCCTCCTGTTCCAAACATTTCAGCGCAGCCCATTCAGAAGTGTGTTTTGCAACATGTGAGACGATCCATTCTGCACGACAAAACCCTTCTTGGAGGATCTTTCAACTTCAATCCCATACGGACTCGCCGCCAAGCTGGGCGGCTGAAGTCAGCCGCCAAACAGCCGTTTCAACCAAGGTTTGGAGGACACGTTGACTTACTATTCTCCTGAGGAGTTTGCTGCAGGCTTCAAGAAGACCATGGCCTTCCAGCCTCGTGTGATCAAGCAGAACCGGGGCTCCTCCGGCGAGGGCATTTGGAGTCTTGCCGAACCGGGACGATCTGGGCCCTCTCCCACACCAATCATTTGGAATCCATATGGGCACCGTGTTGGTGGTGGGGGAGGGTAAGTTTTGGTCTTTTGCATGGGCGATCCAGCAATCCTGGTTTGTTAAAAGGAGTTCCCTGAGTACATTTTTGCTGTGACTCGTGAGTGTATTGGAAACGGTTCCTGTGTGTCTCTCAGCCAACTTGCCAAGGATTGTCAAGCTCAAGGAGCCTCAGAGAGAATGGTTGCAGCAGCTGCATCCAATCGGATGACAAGCAAGGTTCCCCACGACTTTTATAGAACTGCGTTTAGGACACCTAGTTGCCTTCTCTTCATTCGCTCCACCTGGGAGGGAACTAAGAGTCAGTATAGAGTCAGTATACATAGAACTGGGTAAGATACTCCGGCTTTTGGGGTTCTTCATTAAATGATATAAAATGATATTAAATATAATAGATGTATTCTCCTGATTTTTTTTGGGCTTTGACTTGTGACATTGGCAGACCCACTTAAAAGGACAAAAACATGTCATCCACACAGTTCCGGCTTTCTGTGGCTTATGGTCGGCCAACACGGTGTTGTCTCAACATGAGATGACTTTGACCATCTCCGACCCCTGCTTCCTGATTCTTGTTCATGTTCATTCCCTTTGCGGTTCTCCTTTGTGCTGAGGACGAGAACTACTGCAAGGAGCCATGGCTCTCTTCCGTGCAACACAAAGCGATGAGAATCGGGGGGAGAACGACCCAACCCACGAGAGAGCGATCGAACGACCTCCCAACTCCCCCACGAGCAACGAAACCGCAGAGGATCCGTCCGAAACCCGTCTACTACATGTGTGCAAGATCATTTCGTTTAGAGTTTCAGAGTTTTGGTGCTTTGCGTGTAGTTCACACATGGACAACGACGCCCCAAAGATGATACCAGCGATCCCCTGTAGATTCGACATTCCGTGTGGAAAACCGAATCTAAGACATTGGTTGCGCCATACTTGGAAGTAAACAAGTGTTTTTGGAATGTTTTTGATACTGAAGCATTAAGAATTTTCATACCCACCAGTTTAACTCCCACCATGTCAGTGACGGAGTATGGCCCCAACTTCGTCAGGAGTATGGTGAGAGGCTTTGCGAGGACGGTGAGAAGTTGATGCTCATGGAGGCCAACGATAACCATGAGGAGGCGCAGAACACTGATTTCTCGTGATTGGTCCCGTGTGTCGTTTCTTTCTCATGGAAGACCTTTCTACAACTGCTGGCAGTTGTTTGGGTTATTTGGGGTTGACAATTTTTGACATACACAGGCTTGCCAAAGTCCCGCGAAATAAGAGCTGCGACGCCAGTGCGAGTTCACCACTATACTATTTTTGTGTCGTCACATCCCTTATATAAGTTGAATCATATGAGAGCAGTGAGTGGCCTCATTGATTTGTTTGATCAAGGTCCAGCAATGTTCCATTCCTGACCGATATCGAGTACATGTATCATGTCGTCCATGAAGGACTTGGTCCATTCATCACGACAATGTGAGTTTAGGATCAAAGCATGTGCGACCTTACGCCGGGATTGGCACCTTGAGTCATTGAGCGAAGAACCTTTAAGTTCATGAGAGGTTTGTTTGGATCCACGACAGACTGTGGGTGTGACAAACAGGCGCTTTTGACTCAGACCACAAACAGGCGCCCTTGAACTGGTCGAATCGCTGTGAAGACATCGCGACATGTGGTGGTCGCATTTGGATCCAACGGGATCAATCAGGAAGCCCGAAGGCAGCGAAGCAAGCAGTCGCGTGTCCAACAAAGGAAGCCCGCGACGGTGCTTCTCGCCTGCTCGGCCTTCGACCGAGACTGGTCGACCAGTCGATCGACGGTGAAGCACAGGCAGCCGAATGGCGACCGTCCCCATGCGTGCGCTTGTTGGCCCAAAGCTAACGGATAAATTGGACAAAGTGTGAAATTCAGAAGGTCCTGACTCAGAAGCCGACCATTGAAATCAACAAAAGGCCTGCCATCCAAGTTTCCAATTGGCTTTGTCACTGCAGATTCCTCGTGATCCACAAAGTCTCAAACAGAGAAAGGCTCCGGATTCGTTTGATGGCACACATGAGGTTGAAGCAAACGAGAAGCAACCAGGCATGTATTATTCTTCTTGCGCTGCAGGATGACATGTAGGGGACAGCCTGCCGAGTTTGCGATGGATTTATCTGCCATTTACACAGCTAGAGTTTTGGAGGGAGCGGCTGCGTCACCAGCATTCAGGATCATTCAGGCAGGTTCAACCAGGGGATGCAGGGGGCAACACAATCATAAGAACGCTGGTATTATAAATATTATTAGACAAGCCTTATACAATAAGCGTTCCTGTGATACTTTGGTCGCGCCACCGTTGACGGAGTTCCGACCAAACAACGCCTGACCGCGCGCGAACGGACCGCCTACCTCGGAGAAGAAGCAGGCAGTAGGCACCACGGCGCGCGAGTGCCTTCCATGTGAACTGGAAGACCATCCAAGACCCGTCGGCGAACGGTCAGGAACACACGGTCGGCGAATTCATCGAGTTCTGCGTGCACGGCCGCACAGACAAGTCTGGCGAGTGGACCTCCAAGGGTGTCGGCAAGCCGCTGGGACGGAAGGGTGGAGAAGGGTCGGCGACACATGGCTGAGAGCATGCTAAAATGTTGAGCAGCTATCAACGGATGATGTACAAGCGAAGAGTGAAATGGTAGATGATGACAGCTGATGATCGCCCGTAGACAGAGTTGGTTCAGGTATTTCATGTGAGAAATATACCATTTGACGTGAGTTACGTGCTTCACTTTAGGCTGTCAAACCTTCCTTCGCTTGTGCTCTGGATTTCCCCAAAATCACCCGTTGCTTCGTTCGAAGACACTCCCCAACATCCCCAACTGTATTCCTTTGGGGTGCCGACCCGGGTGAACCGACCCGCGTGACGTCGCACGGACATCAAGCCGCGACCGTGCCAGCAAGCCGCGACTGTTGGTCGAACCAAGAGATGGACTGGTCCTTATGGACCGGGTTGTTGGACGACACAGTTGACTTATTATAGGTTTCTTAGATGTTGATTTGTTTACATCATGAGCAGTTCATGATCACAGTGTTTGATTGGCCAAATCAAAGGTAATCATTGATAATTATTCAAGTAGACAACTGAATCAGTGAATCTCTTTTGTTCACCACACCAAACCCCACCCTTCCAACGTGTCTTCTTCCTGTCGGCGGTGAGGTATTTGGAGGGTGGAAAGGAGGCCGGCGGCCAGTTGGTGGACCAGCGTTTCTGCCCGCGCATCGTCGAGGGCGAGCTCCGCTACAACCTCATCGGCGACTCGCTGATCGGAGTGATCCACAAGAAGCCCAAGGAGCGGAGCCATGGGAAGCGGTGGCAGTGGTGGTTGGGGGTCCTGCAGAAAGGCGCAGAAAGGGGGCGCACCAAGAAAATGAGGAGTGGTAATTAAGGGGAGTGGATGCCACAAGTGGAAGTTTTGACTAGTGACTAGTTTTTAAGGTTATTGAAAGAAGTTATGTAATTGGCCTAGTGTAGTCATCATATATTGAATATGAAGATCACATGGCTCGGAGCAAAAAGAATGCGATGTTTGTGGGAGTTCCTTTACCAACTGTTGTCGACACGGACTTGTTGGGTTTTCCTCAGAATCAGTCACCATTTACATGCGATCTGGCCGTGGCCAGCGGAGAAGCTACTGAAAAACTATGATTCTCATTTGTCGTGGGATGTTCACTTATCATGGAGCTGCTTTGGGCAAAGAACAGGGAATATGCCGCATGTTCATTGTATTATATATATATGCACAGGGTTTGTCCTATTACTTGTTCATTGTATTGCCTTTGCATGCACAACACCACGCCATTTGCAGTGTTTTGTGAGGTGGGGAGAGTGGAAATCATCATAGAATCCAACCACCCCTGCTTGCTTGCGTGCGTGCGTGCTGACGTGCTGGCGCAAGCGTGCTGGCTTGCTGGCTTGCTGTTGGTTTCCTTTGACGCGGGATTGACAGTCGCAGTGATTGACCTCTTGTTTGTTGCCCAGCGGAGCAGTGCAACCCCCAATGCATGCTGTACTAGCGATTCTAACCTTCCAGTCTATGGACTTTCCAATGATTTCAAGGTCTAACATTAATGTACTATAAGGAGCTTATATAAATCAAGGTCCACATTTCCATAGCTCAGCTTGTGCTCGAACATCGCAGCAAACTGCACGCATAGGTCCGCCAAAGGCCTGAGTTCGACCCTCCCCAGTTCGGGGGCACCACAAGTTCCGCGCGAGAAGCTTCATGAGTTCCAATGCTTCAAATGAAGCCCAGATGCACTGGTCAAGTTGCACAAAGCTGCAAAATCCACATCTTGTGTGACATCCCTTTTGCACCCAAGCACCTCTTGTGGGGAATTCGTTCTTGCGTTGCCAGGAGGGTGGCATCTCTGCCGTGGGCGGCACTGGATCCATCTACACCTTCTATGGTGCCATGGCCGGCCGGGCCTCGGAAAGTCCAACAGGTCCATGGACGGGCGCCTCCTCACCCTCGTGTCACCCTCGAATGAGTATGTCGAAGTGACGACATGGGGATCTTCGAGGATCATGAAACGGAGTCAAACGGAACGAGCTCCAAGTTTTGATGTGTGGCGAAAGTGTGGGGGAAATGACGGCGTGATAAGGTTGGCGTTCAGGTTGGTACACCGGTCGGACAGTGATTGTTTTCTGATGTTTTCTGTGTGTTTTCCTCGTTCCTCGTTCCGGCTTCACAGATTTGCAGAGTCAAAGCAAATGAAGAAAGTGTGCTTGTTGTTGTTGTTGTCGTCGTCGTCAGCCTGGGATGGTGGTGATGTGGTCATGCAGGGCCAGCTGGGGCAACGAGACAGAAGGGAGAGTAAGAGAGAGAGAGAGAGAGAAAGAGAAAGATAAAGAGAAATACTGACATGCTGCCATGCTGGTGTTTTTTTTAGGTCCTGACGAGCCCCTCTTCAAGTCTTTGACCGAGAACTTCTTGAAGCAGCTCAGCCACACAGACAACGTGTTCGGGAATTGCAAGCATCGGCTCTGGCCCGTTGACGGTAATACAGTATACATCATGTATACATAAAGGTGAAAGTCCATCAAGTAGACTCTTAGACCATGGGTCACTGCGAAAAGAATCCAGAAGATATATTGGACATATATTCACTGGCTCAACAACCGTTTGATGTGGTGTTCCTGATCGCTGCGGGCGTTCATATCTTTTTGCACCGCAGACTCTGGTGTTAGTTGTGTTTTGCACGCCTTCAACATTCAATAACACATCCACCCATCAAAAAATATCGAAAACAGGAAAGACCCTCATGGATGTGGATTCGCTTCAGGAAGGACCTGCCGCATGTGATGCCTTCCTTGGACTTGGCGGAGGAGCCCTTGCCGCTCTGGTGGACCACGGACTTCATCAACGCTTCGCCCGTCGGCACGAAGGCGGAGGACGAGAAGTGGATCGTGGGCGAGTTCAACTGTGGCTCGGAGGACACGACCGTCTAGGGCGACAGGACACGAACCGGCCCAGGGGCCGAGCCGCATGGAAAGTTGGGGCGTCACTGAATTGAGACACCCTTTTGAGATGAAGAACAAGTGGGTGGTTTGCACAAAGAAGGTGGAGAGAGTGGAGAGTGAGAGGTGTTATATTATCTATTTAATCTATTTATGAGTCTATGAGTGATGGTTCACCATGCTAAGGCTCTTGCGTGGGCATCTCCAAATGCTTGGCCGCCTACTGCAAGGATGACACCCCAAATGCCAGTTGGGATGATATCTCCGATGAAGACAAGGCTGAGGCCAAGACACTTGGTAAGCTTTTGTTGGGCAAGCTTTCGTGGAGCTGACCCCAGGTGTTACTTTGTCGTAGATAGCCCCCGATCTAATGGGATTGATGCTGAGCCGCGAACAGCGACAACATGACATACGCAAACCTGGGCGCAGGAAGGACATGAACAGCTTCACATGTCCTCCCTAGAAGAGTCGTCGTGGCAGGTCTTTGTATTTCAAGAATCCCAAAAGCTAGTACTTATGACAATTGGATGTAGCATAGTGCTGGAGATGACAATGACAAGATGGGTTTGCAATAACTTTGGATTTGCACGAGGTTAGAAGCGGAAAGCACATGCGTCCTGGATGGTCGACCAGGGTGAAGAAAACACATGCAGCAGCTCTGAGACCCCATCATGGTCTATCCTGCAAATAAGTGACATGTTGGTTCTCAGCTTCTAGAACCTTTAGTTGGTACAATAATATCGCCATTCATCTATGCCCCCCCCCCTTGACCTGACTCCTTCGCGCCAGGGGGATGTCCGATCTGAAACCGCCCTGATTCCGATCTGATCCTGCTCTCTTCATGGACCATACAATGCACCGAAATGGACTCGCCATCCACCGGGCCCCCAACATCGGAGAGAGAGAGCACCACCGGCCCCAAACGACCACCGAAAAGCATACCGTTCCCGCGGTCGGTGGCAGACGTGACGTGAGGAAGATGGGCGACCTCATGGGAGAGAAAGCTTTGGCCATCCTCTCCAAGTAGGCGTTGTCTTCTGAGGGCGGAAGGTCTGAAGAATCAGCGCCCACGGATATGGGTGGAGGCGAGGCGAACGTGTTGAGACAAGAGGGGATGACATATGCGGCATCGTTGGCCATTGGATGACTCATAGGCTGCCATAGTCATCCAACGCACGCTGCGATTTCACATCCAACACGAGGTATGGCCTGAGCTCGATCCACCAACACCGTGGGCACTGCACCACGGAGCTGATTCGGTTTCACATCTTGCGACGCGGCTCACGTCGAAACGGCTCGGCCTGTGTCGTCCGTGGCATGTGCCTAAAACACCAACAGAAGCCGAATGGCTCGGCGTGGCTGAATGGAGTGATGTTTGGATTGTCAGTGTCACTGGGTGAGGTCACATGCCCGCAATGCCCTTTTCACCACTTTTCACCCCCTGCGGAAGGACACCGTGCGGTTGGGCGCTCTAAAGAGCGCCCTCCCAGCCGCGCAAGTCAATGCCACTCAGATCCATGTGGTGAAAAAAATGTCAGAGTGACTCAAGCGCCATCAAACAGAAGCTCTTGTTTGACAGTTTGGTTGCATGGAGGTGGATGTTTCATAGATAAGACAGGATTGTAGTTGCAAACATGGAGGCCACACAAACCATGCAGTCCTTGTTTGAGATTTGGCAGGTTTGGAGGCTATTCTTGGGGGTTAAGGTGAGACCTGCTTGACACATTGATTCAGAGTCACTCTCTCGCTCAGGCTTTCAGAAGGGCGGCAGGGGCAGCAAGGGCGCTGCGAAGCTTACAAGGGCGGCAAGAGCAGCGGCAAGGGGCAGCGGCAGGATGCCAAGGGCAACAAGGGCAAAGGCCGCCAGGTGAAGGACGAAGACTGGTCACCGAAGGCGCGGCGCTTGCGCTTCGGGCTGGCAGGATGGGTTCAGGGACTCGACGCCTTCTGAAGGCTTTCGTGGTAGCTTGTTGAAGGCTTTCTGGAGACAAGGCTCCACGTCCACACCAGTAACATGAGGCACTCGGATTGCTGTGGTAAGATCAAACCCGATTATTCAAACGAGGTGTAACCCCCAAATGCAATTGCCATGTCTCCAATTCCATGGTTTTCGAACATGGATCCTTCCCCGCGACAGGTGCCCAAGGTCCATTCTCTTTGATCACTTGGCATTCTTGCAGGTCCAGAGGGACGATGCCAGCGGTGGCACAGCGCCTGTGGTTCTGGGCACCCCAGCACGCCGGTGGCAGAGGGCCAAAGCGCCTCGGGACGAATCATGATGTAGGATTAGCTAGGCACGGCACCAAGATTGGAGGCTTATTCCTTTTGTGGAAGAGCAAGGGATGATCGTTTGGGTGCAAAGGGTTGTTGTTTGCCAGAGGTTACAAAGGTGTTGTTTGCCGAGCGGGAAAGCAGTTTCATACCAATTGCAGATGCTCAAAGATTCGTATGATTCTCAGCCAAAGGGATTCCCGGTCCATGTTCTTTCTTTTTCTTTCTCCTTAGGCGAACATGAACATGCCACATATTGCCACCATTTTTGCACCAGAAGCATTGGTGTTGGTCCATAGCTTGGTGCCTGCCTGTCCGATGCACGAGAACCCCACGGCACAGGGTGTTTTTTTCTTTGCTACTAGTAGCTTCTTGTTCCTAGTAGCGATGGCCGCCAACCGACTTGCGATGGCCTCCACCTAATAGCGTCCTTGCTACTAGTAGTAATGCCATTGTTACGAGTAGCTTCTTGCTCCGTTCGTAAGGCCAGGAGCCCCTATATAGTAGCTTCTTGTTACGGACGTAGCTTCGTGGTGTCAACGAGATCAGCTGAAGACCGTCTTTCGTCCCGTCAGCTGAAGACATTCGAAACGGACGGTCCGGTCCGTGGTCCGGTGATCGACCTGGTCGCAGTCGCCGTTGTTCGGGTCGGGTCGCCGGGCCCGTTTCGGAAGCCCCGAGGAGTCTGAAGGTCCTTGAGGACTCAGGCAGACATGCATTTAAAGGGTGGTCATTGGTGTTCATATCCACTATGGAGACAGATAGGTACGTAGGTACATAGGTACTACTAAATTAGTATGAAAGTAAGCACCCATGTTAGAAGCCTGCTGGAGAGTCCAGGGTTTTGGTTTGCTTTGATTTCCTCGTATGCAATCTGCCTGGCTTCTCAGTGATATTCAGTTTTTAGGAGTGTTCTTCTTGAGCGGACAAAGATGAGCGTGCAGCTGCTAGCTTGACTGACTCTGCTTGAGATTGTTCAATCCTCAACTGAGACTTAACTTTCCCTCCAACTCACCAACATAGACTTGAAGTGCATTGTTTAAAATAGAAAAACATATGACAACAGTTGTCTTCCCATGGCCCTTTGAACTACGTACCACATGGCAGTGTGTCAGAGTACACTCTTCAGACATCTTGGGGATGCAAAGGGAGAGCCGAAGATTGACGCGCGTGACCGGAGCAGAGAAGGACATGCGATTCCAAAAACTACTCCGAATATCTTCGAATGAACAGAAACCCTATGCGTGGAAGATCAATTCCCAACATTCACATTGAGCAACCGCGAAAAGACTTGCGACGATCAAACATTGAAGCTTGGCTGAAACCTGGAAGCGATTGGTCTCCCTCAAAAGTGGGCAACGCGGCAACGCAGCTCTTAGATGCTTTTGACGTATTCAGCTTTGTTCAAGATGTGGCTGGGGCTGGACAAAGCGATGTCTCCAACCTTTCTTACCCGACGGTTTTGGCCAGACGCTCGACATAGACTTCACCTGGTAAAGAGCATCCTCCAAGTCCTCCTTTTTGCGTTCGGGGGGAGTGGACAGGTGTATATGCGGGAAGATTAACATGGAACCTGAAAATGGACCTCCTGGAAGACTATGTTCCTCTACAACCCAGTGGTTTTCAGGTTCCATGCTAATCTTCGACACTGACCAAATCCTCCAACTCTTTGACGTCGAACAAGGTCTTCCAATGAGGCGGATCAAAAGACATGTGTTGTTGTCTTTTTTTCTGAACCAAATGTGACTGATACAGACAGGGTGGAACGGTTGTAAGTTCCAGATAAAGCAGCACATTTGGTGGACAAAACCCTGGAGCATTGAGTATCATGGAGTGCTTTTTTGGAGCGATTTGATCTTCCCTAGGTTTGACCCTTGGAATCCGGCGGACCGCATCCGAGCTGAGCTCCAAAGCCCGTCGCCCGGCCAGCGCTCTCGGCGCTCTCTTCACAGTACACTGAGGCAAAAGCCTGAAGCGAAGGCCGAGGCCAAGCCCGAGGTGAAGCAGGAGGAGGGCTTGGGAGAACTGGGAAACAAGCTGAGTTCAACGCGACTCAGACGAGGCATAGAAACTGTGTGGATCTGTGTGGGCTGTTGAGTTGAGAATTCTGTGGTTCCATCACTATGCAATCCCTTGATTGAAGTTTTCGCTTCGTGTGAATCCATGCAAAGCCCCAGGGTTGAGGTTGAGGTCCCAGATTCTGCTTGATAGGCACATGCTGAGAAGTTGGTCAAAGAAGCTCATAATTGACTTGCTTCGAGAGATCACCCCGGTACTTTCACTTTTAGGATTTTTTGGTTGTACTGAGTTACTGTACAGGCTACAGATGGCTACAGCGGCTACAGGATATTCATTTACGATCATATCATGGTCAAGTCATACAAGAAAGCTATAGCAGCTATAGAAAGCTATTGGGTGGCCACACGTGGCACGGGGTTGACACTGGAGAGACCTACTTGGAATCACTTGGGTCATCCTGGATCCCAAAATTTATCCAAGAGGGTCAACCCCAGGTTTTAGCATCATTGTCGTTCTCCCAATGCGAAACCTACTTGGTCCAGCAATTCTCAGGTTTGAAGTTGCTATTCGTCAATCGTCCACGTGTCCCACTTTGGTCAAACAAGAAGAAACTGCTGAAGTTGGGTTGACCGCTTGACCCACACTCCGAAAAACTGTGATCACGCAGGCATGTGTCATGCGCATGACCGGTGCTCACCGCTGTGCAATTTGGAACCGTTTATGAAGAAACCACCCTGGCCACGTGGTCAAGCTGCCTTCCTTTGAGGAACATGGGTTTCCCTGCTAAATCCTACTAAATCATTCAGATCCGGTGGACAAGGGTCAATCTTCACAGAAGAATCAACCAAGGAAATATACAGGAAGCCTTTCTTCAGGGCGATTCTGGACAAGTTGCAACTCTTGCCCCAGCCCCAACCTCTTACGAAAATGGACAAAACTGGGGTGGTTGGCTTCTGGCACCCATGGATCACAACGACAGCAAGAGAAAGGCGGCCGTCCGCGAGGCCACCTGCTAAAACCCCAGCGACTCAAGCGACTTCCTGTTGCACCCCAGCGAGACATGGTGACACAATGTGTTTGGCTACAAATGATGGATAAGGAAGGTTTGAAGGGAAAACATATTCTTTATGTAAATTGTAGACAGGAGAGGAACACCATCTGAGGAGGCTAGGTCCAGGTTTGGTTGTTCAAAAGTGTGCATGTAGTATATCCGATACAACGGTACGTTGGTGATCAATTCGGCTGTTCCAGGAGGACGATGTCTCGTACTACGAGGAGGGGGAAGAGGAAGAAGAGGATGACGACCCCGAGGAGACCGATGACCATGACGAACTTGGAGACCGTTTTTTTGGCGCCCGGCAAACGAAAAGAAGACCCTTGGTTTGGGTGAAAAGGTTCGGTTTGGGTGATGATGACTGAAGACATGAAGGAGGCACCCCAGTCATTCGTTGGTGGATGCGCCAGAGAGCAGTCGCAAAAAAAAGAGAATGACTGATGTGACTTCTTGGAGAGCCCAAAGTTTGCTCAGGGACTCCCTAACTTGTTTCCTTCAGCAAAAGTTTGGAAATCCCGTCCTCAACTGTTTGTTGTTTTCTGAGTATGAAAACCAGCTGGCGGGCTTTGCCCTTAGAGCTCCTGCAAGACGGCAGTTTCTAGTTTGGGGCCACTCTTGGGAAGAAGTCTCACTCTTTCTATGCTGATGGATGGACAAATTCTGGCACCTGGGGAGCAATGGAGGTCCCTGCTCCATTGGTGTTCCTGTGCCAGATTTTTTGTCCATCCATTGCATAAACGACTACAGACCTTGTTTAAAGCCTTTTGTCATAATGATCTCACAATTTGTTGCAATTTTGAAATCACTCGAGGATACAAGATGGATCAAGATGGATTCCATTTGATCTTTGAATGTGCCCCAGCGTTGTGATCCATTCCAATTTAATCCGCAATTCGCTTGTCCTACTCCACTCCAGGAGGAAGTCTGAGGCCCAGCGCTGCGCAGTCGCGAAACTGGCCAACCTGGGGAGTATGGCGTATGGATAGTCGATGTCGGGTGGGGGGACAACTTCAGTGGTACAATGTTGGAGTTGATGTTCTTTGGCCCAAGCCCACTCCAAGTCACCTGCCACAAGTGATCTCGAGACTGCCAAGAAGAAGGTTGGTGAGACCTTTATACGGTGATTCATGCTCAATGCATTTGAATGCTCTCCAACATTGTCGCCCCGAACCATCCAACCCGCTGGCTCGATGCGACCGGTCGCAGATGCACCGGTGTTCAGCGGTTCGTTCAGCGGGCCCTCGGTCCGAAACAGAAGCGGTGAAAGACAGCCAATGCCAGCCATAGCGCCGAGAAAACGGAGTCGGCCAAGGTGGGTCAGGGGAGTGATCGTGACATATCATGACCGTCATGGTCTGGCAACAAGAAAACCACAATGATATAATGATGACCATCAGTTTCATGACCATCATGATCGTCTCACCAGAAATGGGTCAGGGGAGTGAGCTCATGGAGTGATAATATCATGGTCTCCAAAGTCCTTCCTTCCTTGGTCTCCTTCCAAAGACCTTCTTATATGTGCATATCTTCCTATGGTCTACAAAAGCAATTATATAACTCTGTTGGTCTCCGAACTTCGAGAAGTGATGCACATATAATGAAGACCGGACCTCCATGCGTCGGTAGAAGTGCCATAGGCTTGAAATTAACCATAAATCATGAACCAATAAACAGCTTTTTTGTTTATGGTTGTTTTTGCTTGTTGTTCTGGTTCCATCATTCACACAGTTTGCTGACTACGAGCCACAACTCTGTGTTAACATATATTAAACTGATTTACAATGAACATCTCTGAACGAGCTTTGGCCTATATTAGCTTCAAGATTGCAACCCGGAAGGGAGTGATACTAAAAACCGCACTTCTTTATAGAGTGATATAATTAACTATTGACACACCTTGGATCTTCAGATGTTTGACCTGAGAGCCGCCAGGCCAACTGTCCACGGAGTCCTTGATACGCGCGGGGGGGAGTAAATTCTATATGTGTTGAAAGTGTTTGTGTCCAACAGGAGCTACCGACTAGTGGATGCACGACATCTACTTTGCTCCTCTTGCCCAGGGAGCAAATATTTGGCACGTAACCAGATGGTATAGTATGCGACTCGACATGAGGCACCGGTACTGAGTGTTATTCATTCTCTTCAGTGACTCTTCAGCTGTGAGCGGCTCAATCCTGCAGCCGTGATGGATCCAAAGGCAGGTGGTGTACCGTGGTGGTCAGGGGGTGGTTGGCTGCGAGGGTGTACGGGTCTTTCATGGCAAGCACAATGCTCGTATCTCCTTTTCATGGACCTGGTTCTGAACTCTTGGGGCACTGTTTGACAATCCTCACATGGTGAGTCTGGATGTGGCATCACAGGCGAGTCTGCCAAGCTGGAATTCTGACCTTGAGTTGCGGTGAGAACCTCCGTGGGTAGTGCCTGGGTCGAACGGTCCGGAGGGCGCAGGGCTCGTTCAGCGGAACGGTCCTGCACCAGGTGCCCACGGTGCATTGGAACAAGTAACCGTGGCTTCCTGGTTTGCTGCGCTCTGACGCTATGCTTAGTTTTGTTAGATTGACTTGGTATGGCTTGGCATAGAACTTATACAGACGATTCAGACGTTCGCTTGAAGTGACATGTTGCGTCCATATTTGTTCTCTCGCAACCCAACTGAGGCAAAGATGAGTTCATAGCCTCCGGTTTGTAACAAAGCAGCCCACAGTCAGGTTTTGAATAGTTTGGCATGATGTTACTTGTTCCGGTACATTTTGTTGTTTGAGCAGCCCGTGCACTGTGCAGCTTATCCTCAACACCTTGAGCGCACTGGATGACAACATTTTGGCCACTGTCATGGGCCAGGCTGGAGGAGACTGGACGAGGGACTGGACGAGGATCCTAGGCTGGACCATGCTGGACCTTCTGAGCAAGTTTCGATTAGATAGACCCCCTGTCATAGATCGAAGTTCGTAGGTCCCCACTGAACATGTATTGGAAACCATGCCACCATCTATTTGGTGATCACAATAGATTTGTCAGCTATAATTACATTTGTGATGTGAAAGGTGCTCATTCATACCACCGTATGATCACTGCATGTGATCAGGGATCACAGGAATGGATAGACGGACTAACGTTTTCGCACAAAAATGGAAGTGGATGGCTAATCAGCTAGTCGCTGGGAAGACAATGTTCCGAATACTAGGGTTTACCCACCCTACAAACAATGTCATTTCTGCATGTGTGGCATGCATTCTTTCTCTGGTTGTAGGGATTCCTTGTTGTGAAGATCTTGTCCCTAAGAGGGCGGAGGTTTTAGTCGCTCATCAGGTTGTGGCGATCGTTGGTGTAAGGTCTTGACAAGCAAATCTTGTGTTTTTTTACATTGGCAAAGTATCGGTAGTGATAACCCATGATTCCCATTTGATTTTTCTGCTTCTTTCACTTTGAGGGGTTCCAGTGACACCATATTTACACACTGTTTACTTGAGGCAAACAGCTTTTTCACATGGAACTTTGTTTCACCCATGGGACACCCAAAGAGTCTCACCTAACATCGGCCAGAACATGCAAGGGATCCGACCGGCCCGACCCATGTCGCCACATCGTCTCGCCACACCGACCCATCTCGCCGTCGGCGCCACACCGGCGCCGTGCACAGTTGTTGCAGCAGAAGCCCGAGTTGGCTCCTGGCTTGGTGAGTCGGGGGCCTTGCCCCGACGAGACGAGAAACCGCACGCGATGTTAACGACGGCCGACCGGCCACGGTTGTGGCGGTGGTGCCAGGGGTGGAGGGTGGTCCGGGAGGGTGAGGGAAGAGACTTGGGAGGTGCAGAGTGGAGCGATGAAAGAGCTAAGAAGCCAAGGAGGGAGTTCCTGAGTTGAAAAGAGGCCAAAGAAGAGTGGGTCCAATCTTTGGGTGGGATGCCTGCCACTGCCATGTTTGTTTGCTGTTGTGGAACAACGTTCTACCAGTATGTGGTTACGTGGTCTACAAAGAACCTCGAGACTCAACCACGGGTGGAGGTGCTGATATATATATATATATACCTTGAGTCTCCAATGACCCTTTTAAATTTGCCTTTCCAAGAAAAAGAGGTTTTTGAAAGAAAGCACTCTTTTTTGCATATGTCACGAAATGTTCCTTTTTTGTTTGTGCCCTGTCAGATCCTCCTTAGACAGTGTCCTGAGACCTTTTTTCGGCGTCCAAAACGCGTCTTTTTGCGTCCAAAAGGCGTCTTTAAGCGTCCGTGCCGGACGCGTCCGGATGAAGATTCACTCTGCACCTTTTTTTGAGTCCTCATCTCTAAAAACGCGTTTTTCGAGCAAAAACGCAAAAATATTGGACCAAAAACAAAAACGCAGAAAAAAAAGGTCTTTGGAGACTCAAGGTATGTGTTGTAGCCTGGTCAAACTGGTGCTCCCTCTAAAAAACTCAGGAGGATGACGCGCAATGTGCCCAGGTCTGGCGATACCTGAGCTCACCTATGCACCAACAAAGGCGGTCACTGAAATGGCGGATGGATGCTCAGATGTTTTGAAAGAGATATCTCAAGTCAACCAAAGATCTCTCAAAGGTTTTTGGGAAGATTTGGGAGGGTTTTCGGGTAGAAGACGACCAACACCTCCAAAAGGCCTCGACTCGACGTTTTGTGCTTGTATCAAAACTGAACTCTGGCATCACAACATGAAGGAGGTCATTTTGGTGTTGCCAGATGTTGCTAGATTATGTTTGAATGTTAGTGAATGTTACACTCGTTCCAGATTGAAGAAGTTTGGACATCTTAGTGATTGTTGGTGAAACATAGCACGTTCTTTGCCTCCTTTAAAACCTTTAAAGGCGCTTGTGTTGATGATCTGTGAAACGCTATCCCGATGATCTCCTCGTGGTCGTGGTCGGGTGTCCGTGCATTCATCGGCCACTGAAGAAGGGATGGCCAGGCCTTTACAGAGAAGAGATGTAGCGGCACCATCAAGAAGGTGAGTCCGCAGCCAGGAGCCTCAGTTGGGGCGTTCTTTTGTCCGGGATTTGTTGATTCAAAACACAAGACATCTTGCATCTTATTGATATAGAATCCTAAAAGTCCATCCCTGTTAAACAAAATCCCTTTCATCCGTCCGTTCCATGTTCCATGGAGCACATAAGGTGCTCAGCACCATTTCCATATAAATAACCAAACAAAACCTCAGAAAAAACACCTCATCTCGGCTGTCCTTTCGACCCTCTGTGTCACCCACGTTCGCGTCACCGGACAACCGACCGTCACCGTCGACCCGACCTGGACGCCGAGGCTCGGCATGGCCTACATCGACTGCCCAGAGCTGAGCTCGGTCTTCGGCTGCGACGTGGTGGTCCACGCCACCCAGGCTCGGTCTTCCGCGCACGCGGCATGCGCCCAACTGCGTGGGGTGGGCCACGCAGTTGGCGGTTGGCATGGAGAGGTGAGAAGGTCTCGAATCGGGGTGGGTTTGGAGCAGTCAAGTGGTGTGGTGCCAGTTCAGGACCTCGGAGAGGGTGTGAGCATCAGCCATGCTGAGCATCTTGTGACGTTCGAGCCCAAGGGGAATTGTCTTGGAGTTGGCACCCTACACCCCTACATCAAGTTCGGCCGTTTGTGCATCTTGTATATCTGGTGCTGCGGCGTGGGCTGCGACATGGTGAGCCTGGATGACGGACTTCCGCACAGATGCATGGCGGGTCAGGACACTGACACAGGGCTGCAGCAACAGGAGAAGCCAGGTAGCACCTCTCCATCATTGTTTGGCAGATATGGATTTGTTCAACATCACTTGCTGAAAGATCGTTCAACATTTGCTGGGGCATGTATTAGGAAACGCTATAGGAAAGCCACCAAGGCCTGTCTGGTGGCCAACAAGGGGTGGGTGTTTGTTGCAAACACACATCCAACATGTTCGAAAGGGACGCCGTGCTTTTCACTGCAAGGTTGGGGCCTTTATGGAAGGAACGGAGGCCAGACTGGGCAACAGGAGGGGGTGTTCAGATGTGTTCAGACAGGTGACTGGCTACCGGTGACTGGCTACTCTTTCAATCAACATCCCATGTGATCCAGTGTGCCAAGTTGCACCCGGTGAAACACCCTGCGTGGGTTGCAAAACATAGATCATTTGATGACTCATAGCTGCTTTTGATCATATTGAGGTATAGTGAGTCTATACATAGTAGTTTTCCAGTTTCTCTAAGATTACCCAATGTGCCTGTTGTCTTCATGTTCTATTTGGATATATATAATCTGGCATTGGACGACTTGGAACGGCGAGGGCCAAGCAATGCTGGATCGAACATGAACAAGCGATGGCTGCCGTTGCTGCCGCTGCTGCTCACTCAGGGAACGCCTGGCCCTCCTTGAGGGCACCAATGGTGCAGCCGTGGATAGGGCCTGTTGTCTTCGAAAGACCCTCCCGACCGAATGTCGTGTCAGGTGAATTTTGCGGTCACGTTAAATGACGATAACAAGCCGCAAGCGTCGGGAAGCCCTGGTGCTGTCCTGCTGCTGGTCGGAAAGTTGAATAAACAGTGGAGGTGGAGTGCAAGTATGAGTATAGTAATGTTGGCAACTGGGAGGCTGATTATAGTATGATTATAGTAATCCAATGTGGCTTGCAACTGGGAGGCTGATTCATTGTTTGAAGTTTGGAGTTGGTTGGTTCTTTGGGCAGGTATATATATATATATATACAGGTATCCATCTGGAACTTCAGCTTTGGAGACCTGTTCTGCCCCCATTTGCAACCAGTGACCCAGCCTTGATCAGCGTTCTGCCACAGATCACTTTGTTGGACGCCCCCGGGGACGGCGTTTGTGGGCTCGGTGCCGTTCCCTTCGGTTCAGTGCCCTTTTCGTCAGTCGATTCTTGGCGAACCAACGCCTCCGAAAGCCGCTGGTCTATTCTTACAGACTTGAGCTCAGTAAGGGATCCACCTGGATCCACCCTCATGACCGCGCTTTTCCTCGCACATCATTCGTCCACCCTTTGCTTTTCGCTCCACACCACGTTCGTATCGAGGTTCGACCTCCAGGAAAATAACACGCCCAGCCCGGGGCCCTTTTGGTCGTTTGATTGGCAGGTTCTGTGGAGTTCACCAGTGGAATAATTGAAGAAAGCAACAGTTGCGGGGTCTATATGATTCTATATGCATCATTATGCATATATATATATATGTACAACGGTTGACGTCAACAGTATCACTTGCTTGGTTGTATGGAAGTCCTTTTCACTGGGGTCTGAAGGCAAAAGATAAAGCGATTGCAACGAATGCAATGATGTCGTCCTCATCAGGTTTCTGCAGTGACAAAATATGACAAAATACCTTTGAAATCCTTTGAGTAGCTCTTGAGCAGCATAGAACCTAGGGTAGTCCATTGGACACCCATAGCATGGTCCTTGTAGTGGATCTTCTATTGAGGAACAGGGTTCACCTTTAAGCTGTTGATTTCTCCAGCCTCCCGTGTCTCCTATGCCCTGCCCCGCCTTTTTTCTTCGGAGCGAGGGTCTGCAGTTCGAAAGCAAGCAGGTATGCCAAGTACTGGTGCAGCTATGGGTGCCATGGCCATGGGAGACATGGGCAGTATGGGCGCAATGGGTGGCTTGGCAGTGGCTTGGCTGCAAGGCACGAGGACGGGGGTGCGGTTTTGGCTTGGTACACAGACTGAGTGAAGGCTTCCGACTGAGCGACTAGCGTGACCAGGTGATTTGCGAAAGATCTGTGGCCGTGTGTCCTAGTCACATCCAGTGACTACCCCAGCTTTCATCCTAAGGCTTTTTACTGTACAGGTTTGCTGCCTTTAAACATTTTTGAACCCAAACAAGCAATTCAATATGATCCAAACCAACCTCTCACCGACCCACCAACCTCTCGACCGACGAGCTACGCGTCCAAACACCGCGGAAGCTCCGAGGATGTGATGGGCATGGGACCGATGGGTGCCATGACCAGCTTTCTGGATGGCGCGGGAACCCGTCGGTCGATGTGTCTGTCGTTCAGACGGAGATCCCCCGAGTCCTCTCGCCCGCAGGGTAGACTGGTCGATGTTCCGACGGGTCGGAACGCCGTTCGGTGTCAGTCTCCCTATTTGAGCTACACCACCGGGCCACCGCCTGACGCAGGGCGCTTTCTTTTTTCTTTGTTTTGCGAAGAAGCAGGGCGCTGGTCCCGACCACAAGGCTTTTTCTGCGACAGGTCCGAGCTTCGGCGGACCTCGGGTCCGATTCTGGGACACAGAGCCTATGGGATGTGGGGAGGTAATCCACAAAAGCGGTTGAGATCCTTGTGATTCCGCGGTGATATGTTTTGATCATGTTGGGATGGCAACCGACCAAGGGGCCAGAGTGTGACCCAGAGCTAGGAAAGAAGGGGCATCGGCGAACTTCCAGGGTCCTGAAAGATCCAAGGTCGGGAGTGTGAATTCCTTTGGAGGCGAACTTCAAGCACTCCTAGCGATCTAAAGCTTTTTATGTTGATATATACTGTACTCATGTTGAAATGTGTTTGTGTAGTTATGAGGATGGTTCCTCCCTAGGTGAAAGTTATTGGGGCACCATTGTCAATCCCTGTCACGGCATGGCTTTGACTGGGATGGAAGAAAGCCCTTTGTTTGTGTTTCCACTGTTTGACAAGCACTACTCACTACGGCTTGCATACTGTCGCTTGCTCGCCATGTTCACTTCCGGGTTAGAAAACATGAAAAAAACGGTCAGTGTTGGTGGGATTCGGATCACGTGTGAGTATAAGGATATTCACCAAAACGGGCGGCGTAAACAACGAGGACCACAAGTGAGGAACAATTGACTGCCCCAGTTCTGGTCATTTTTATTTGTGGTGTTAAGCCTTGATATCCGGTTGCAGGCAACCTACAATAACCCACACCTTAAATCGAAGCCCCAAGTTATGAGGCTTATGGCCAGAAAAAAAACTCAGGCCAACAGCTGGGAGTGAAAGGTTCCTTTTTGCATCCTGCCATCGTGGCTTAGAAGGTGACAGATTTGAAGCCAAGCTGCGAGGATTCTGACGGAGGGAAGGCAGGAAAGCCGAAGCTCAATCTGTGGTTTGAGAGCAAATCACAGACAGGTGCCTCTCAAACCCAAAAGCTCATGCTCCCGAAGCCATCAATGAAGCAACGACAAACTCCTGGAAGGACCATGCAGTTGGCCTTTGAGTGAAATCCCGACCACGCATGGGCTTTAAGTTGGAACAGATTACATTTAGCAGGAACTTCCGTAATGTTCTGTATGTTCTGTCCATGACTAGACCGGCAGCTCACTTTTTGTCCAATTGCCGATGTTGCCATGGCGTGTGGCGTCATCGCACGTGGACTGCGATGGCCACGCACTGACACTGAATGGCTTCGGAGTGGTGCTTGGTGCGCTGTGAATTGGGCACTGTGACAATGAAGAAGTATAGAGTGTCCGCAAAGATATCCGATGCCAGGACTTCAGACAAGTCGTTTTGGAATGCATTTGCCTCCATGCAGTCTGTTATGATTAACAGCGTGTGCCAGCGAAATCAAGTGACAAGAACCTGGTCGCAAAGATGTTTTGGACATTGGGTCTTGGGGAGGTCTGCTGCTGACCTTCCAGGGGCATTGGACTTACGAGAAGGTTGGGGTTTGTGTGGGTGCGTGGGGGAAGCTTCGATGCCGGGACGTCACCCGGGGAGCAGAAATTGGACCAACTCACTCATTCGCATGGATTGGATGGCCCGAGTGGCGAGTCGGGTCCTCGACGTCCCAAAGACCTCTACCCGACGGACTCCGCGGCGTCCGGTTCGTCGGGTCGTCCACGTCGGACCCCAGTGTCCGCTGGCGTTCGGACGGGGCCCGTGGCGGTCGGTGGGGACGAGTTCGACGAACCTGGAAGAGGTGGAAGACATCACCCCCCACTATCAGGATCCTAAGGGGGGCAAAGGTCGGTTCCGGTGCAAGGATGAGTGGATATGATATGAATGGTCTCCGGTCTAAGGAGACCTCGGATTTTGGGAAAGCAGCGGATCCATGAGTTTGGCCACTCTGGGTTTTTGGGGCTCCCAAAACCTGGTGCTTGGGGTGCTGAGAGTCGCCAGGCGCTTGGGGGATTGCTTTGCCTCGTGGCCTTTAGCTTGGAGGCGCTGCTTGGCATGGCCTGGCTCCAGTCCCAAGGCGCGCGTGCTGAGCGGAGCGGAGCCCGCTCTCGTCTCGCGGCGTGGTCCTCTCCCCGCGGTTTTCGAGGGTCGTGGCGGATCGTGGCGGGGAGGAGAAGTGGACGGGAGACGTGAAGGACCGAGGCGGTGCGAGTCATTCTTGAAAGAAGGGGACACCATCCTATCGTCGCATGCATTGGAAAAAGGATGAAACAATGCATGACATCAATCGTCAGAAAATCAGTGAACCTTTATGAACCTTCCTTAATGCAAGTGTTTCAGTTTTGGAACATCCTGAAGTTGAGTCCAACGTTTTTGTGGCATTGCTGCTGCATCGCAATCTACAACAATCCATGTGTGGAATATTTACCAAGTTTTACCAATTATTATTAGTATACTTATTATAAATATATATATATATTGCAATATTATAGACAGTATAAATGTTTGTATGCAACATCTCAAAGTATCACAGAATCACCTCAAAGTAGTGTGTATATTCCATGCATAGATTGTTTGAGATTGATTCTCCTAACTGTCCTGGACAAGGTCCACTGCCGACCGCCTGCTCGCCCAGTTTCCTGGCAAAAGCAGCTGGCTGTGGGCACGGGCTGCTTACTTTGGACTGCTTTGGCAGGCAAACGCTGTCGCAGCGTGACGCGCACGTGGCGTTTTAGGCGGCGGAAGTGACCAGTGTATGCCTTGGAAATGGCTGTTATGTTCTCATGTGGGTGTGTATGACCCCCCAAAGACTCCCTGGCAAAAGACAGACGGCCGAAGATAGAAACCCATTGGTTCATTTGATGTGAATTGGTTCGGGGATCTCCGTATTCCAACAACCATACCCCATACCTTGGGTCTGTCCATACCCCAACCTGTAACAAGTCAGTAAACAAAATGTATATATATATATATATCACCTTTTTTTTGAACAAGGCCTTTACTAATCATCATCCACTGGGCCCTGGTAGACTCGGATAGACCCAACCCAGGACCCCGTCTCGGAGCAGCGTGGCCAGACGCCCAGGCCTTGCCGTGTGGATGGAACGCAAAGCCATCCAGAGGCGCCACACGCCGTAGTGGAGAGTGCAGCAGGTAGTGGAAGGATCTTTGGACCATCCAACAAGCAAGAAAGTTGATGGCTGTTGCCACTTGGAATTCCACTTGGGAGTCTTCCACGGTTTGTTGGAAGTTGGAAGGGTAGAGTGAAACGTGGCCGGACTCAATTGATGCTGATCCAACTGCAGATCTACCTGAACCTGTTCTTGTCACCGTCGTGCAGATGAAGAATTCATCATGCATTTGAAAACCCCGAAAGGTGCTTGGCCTTTTTCGTGGGCTTCCTCTTCACAGGTGCGTGGCGAACAAACACTTTCGTTCGTCTCACGTGGCCCGAGGAAAGGCTGGGCCTCTCGAGCAAGTGGCAGCTGTTGGGAAATGGTTCAAATACTGAACTGATTGAAACTATACACATCTAACCTCTTCTTCAAGAAAGCTTTTACATGTCCATATATGTTTTTTAATCAATCAACAGTCCACATGACAGAGTTTTAGGCCCTGTCACAATCTGTCATGTGCATTCCAGTTGAAGCTTGGTGAATCTGTCTACCCAAAGCGATGGTCCACGAGGTGCTATAGCGATGGTCTTGCTTCTTGCCACTTCGGCTGATGACGGACCCAGGTTGACCAATGGGTCTTAGACCATTGCTTGGCCAGACACAAAACACTAGAATGACAATGACTGAAACAATCTAAAACACCAGTTCGGAGAGTGGGATGCCTGGTTTGCGAGACCTTGTAGAGCCAGTTTTGAATGTCTTTGTGGCTTCCATATTTCAGGCAGAATGGAGACCATTGCGCTTGATTTGCACTATCGTTCCTGTGCTATATATACGTATATATATATATAAACTGAACAAATCTCCAGAAGAAGTGGGGCACAGCTCTTGAATTTGCACCAAGAAGAAGAGTAGGATCCAGATGATCCAGTCCAATTTGAGGGAGTGGCTTCACCCCGTTTAGGTCTCTTGTGCATGGACCAAGGAGAGGGTGGCTTCACCAACTCACGAATTCTTTTGACGAAGTATTTCGCGCTCTCAGACCAAATCCAATTCTATATATATATATATACACCACATGAAAGCTCGACACACATCTGCTGAAAAGCCCTTTGAAGCCTAAACTCCACCTGGAGTTTGCTCCAATTGCGCTTAGGACTTAGGACCCAGCTGAAATGCACATTCCAAACTCCCCATCATCCCCTCTCCTGGTCTTTGTTTCATGTCCTGCTCAGCTGCTGGACGCACAGCTGTCACACGCGGCTCCGTGGCGCTTCTTGGGCATCTCCGTGGCGCTTCAGTTGAGCCTCGCCAGTGGCATTTGGGCTGCCAGCGCTTCACAGGCGGCCGACGTTTTCGGACACGTTCGGACGCCCTTGGACGAAGCACACCAATGTTTGTTGGTTGGTTGGTTGGTGTGTGTGTGTATATTAATATGTGTGAGGTTATTGGTGTAAATCATGAGGTCGTTCATGGTGGTCAAGAGTGTTGCTGTAGGCTGACGTTTAGAGATGTCGGTATGCTAAGGGACCAGCTGTGTGAAAAGCGGTTAGAGCCTGAATGTTCTTTCCTAAGAGGTCGCGAATCAAGCCCTGTACCTGTTCCACTTCGCACCGACATGACTTGAAGTCTTTGATCTTGACAGATGGTGATGCTTGGTCAGGATCGCATCGTCGCAGCTTGAGCAACGACCAACATCCTCGCGCTTGACCCCGTCGATGTCGGCAGGTGAAATACCTCTTCATCTTGGTGACGAGTCTCCTAGGACTGCTGCG